TGTTGTTGTTGTTGTTGTTGTTGTTGTTGTTGTTGTTGTTGTTGTTGTTGCTGCTGTTTCTTTGTTTTTCACCAAAGGATACAATACAATAAATACAATAAACTTAAATTAAAAACATTCATCCATTATCTTTTACCCGCTTCTTCCATTTTCACGGGGGACACCCTGGACAGGTCTCCAGTCCATCACAGGGCCACATAGAGACAAACGAGACAAACAACCATTCACTCTCTCACTCACACCTAGGGACAATTTAGAGTTACCAATTAGCCTAACATGCATGTTTTTGGTCTGTGGGAGGAAACCGGAGTACCCGGAGAAAACCCATGCATGCACGGAGAGAACATGTAAACTCCACCCAGAAAGGCCCCTGGACCGGGATTTGAACCAGGGACCTGCTCGCTGAGAGGCAGCAGCTCTACCAGTTGCACCGCCGTGTTGCTCCATGTTAAAAACATATATTTTAAAATTTACCTGCACATGTCCTCGTTTATTTTCACAAGTTTCATCTTTTTTTCTTGTATCACTCCTTCATCGCTTTAAACTAAAATCTGAATTAAAAATGTAACAAATTAGAAACCAAAAAAAGTCCATGCTCAATAATCCAGGTATACAATCCAACATTTTTCAGTCGGGTCATCTGGTCCAGTTTACTCCAAAGTGGAGTAAGCTGTTGGGGGAAGAATCAGTTGTGTTGCGTGTTTCCTTGACTGATGAAGCCTTCTGGATGGAAGGTGAAACGTTTCAGCACAAAAAAGTAACTGTCCAGATGACCTGACTGAAAAATGTTGGGTAACAAATTAGATTATTTTTCTCTGATTGTGTTTTTAATAATTAGATTTTAGGAGGTGATTGAAATGAATGGGCAAAGTAAAACAGAGACACGTGTTTGTTTCCAGGTGGTGAAGACCAACAGGACGCCTCCTCCTCACGCTCTGAGGCCGCCTCCTCCTCACGCTCTGAGGCCGCCTCCTCCTCCTCTGTAAGGACGTCTACCTGTCCTGATCACACCTGGTCGCATCATGTCGCACTGTTTTCTGAAATGTTCTTTTTATTTTTGTTTCCATCAGAAAACCAAAACCTGCTGCATCTCAGCCTCTGGTGCCTCAAAGACCTGCTCCCACCTCACCTGTTTAACCAATCAGGGGCCTTCCTACCTTCACCCTCCTCCTCCTCTCATCGCCTCCTTCCTTCCTAACCTCAGCCTCTGCTCACTCAGCCGGTTCCCTAGCAACAGCCAGGAACGGGTCTGTGAGACGGGTCAGAGGAGGAACCGGACTCGGAACACAGCGGGACTGAAACGAAGCAGCTGCTCCTCTTTACTCCTCCGCAGCTCTGTCAGGTGACGTCATCTGTTACTGAACCAGCCAATCAGAACGCAGAACAGCCAAAACGACTCCAGATCCTCCTCCTGCTGTCGGTACATATTAGTCCTGCCATTGGGATGAAAATCATGGTTTCATGTTGGGTGTTTAGCTGCCCAACAAATAATTTATTAAACATTAGAGGAAGAAATGCTGACGTCGGCGCTAACAGCAGGACTGTCTCAAATGAAAGAAACTCATCTAAAGGTTCAAATGGTGCCAGCTCCAAGTCCCACTGAGGAACCAAAGGGCATGACGCCAGTCTGTGTCTGCGCACACCTTTCAGGAAGCATTTCATGAGCGGGTGATGAAACACCGTCGCCCTGGTGGAGGAGGTGGAGGAGGAGGAGGTGGCTGCAGCGTACGTTTAATCGTGCTCAAAGCCAGTGTCCTCCTGTCCATCAGCAGCTGCAGAAAAGATACAGTGCAGCTCGGGGGACAGGAGGTGGGGTCCACGCCTTCTCTACACACCCGCGCTGAAACGTGTAGCACGCTGCGACAGAGGCCGCTCGTGCGTTTTGTATCGTGCACATCACATCCTAGGAGAGACCCCGCCTCTTGGTGCTCCCCTTCAGCGCCAGACCCAGAGGTGCTGGCCGATCACCGGGAAGTTCCTGATCGTTCCTTCTGCCACGGCAGCTGCAGCGGGCGGTCTGATAACAGCTGCTCCAGAGCGCACGGGAACCGTGATGCACCCGTGCGCTCTGGAGCAGCTGGAGGGAAGGCGTAAAGCTGTTTGTTCGGTCATGGCCGTGTGTGAACATGTCCACTCCCAGCGGGGGTTCGTCCTGTGAGTGAGAACCAGAGTTTGTGTTGATAAAGTCGAGGGCCTTGTCCAGCGGTTAACTCTCTGGAAGCAGGAAATGCTCTGAAGAGCAGAAGGCCGCCCGGCGTCGTTCCTCCTCGAGCTGGAGAAGCTTGCAGGACAGACGGGGAGCCTGGGGTGTCGGGGCTTGACCTGCATGTTCTGCTCCGAGGCAGCGCTCGCAGACGGCGTGCAGGTCGAAGCTGAGGATGAACCCCGTCCTGCAGGCCGGACATCTGGACATCGTCTGCTCCTTAGTAGCTTTTTATCTGCTTGCTGGCTGAAGAAATAAGAGGAGTCGATTTACAGTTTTTCCAAATTTCCTATTTATACAGACTGGGGCGGGGCCACAGCAGGTGGGCGTGGACTAAAGTTTACTCAAAGTTCAGCCATGATGCTCTCCGGTTGCAACCACGCAGAATTTAGTGAAACTGAAACATGATTTTTTGATTTTCTCTCAATTTTGATTAATTGAACAGTCTCCAACAGTTGCAGCTCAGTTGATACTTTAAGGAAACGTTTGACTCTTTTTAATTTGAAAAACTCTTGATTCTCCCACCTGGTTTGGAGTAAATATATTTGTGTCAGCAGGAGGCGCTGTAGGACTAATAACTGGTTTCCTGTTAGAAAATCTAGATTTGGTTCTGGTTCAGCATGAATTAAAATGGAGCTGAGTTACTTTTGTTGATTGAGTTCACCTGTCGGTAAAAAGAAGCATGTCCTCGCTCTGATTGGCTGGTTATCAGTTGCAGGGGCGGAGCCTGCACCTGCTCGCTTCTGTTTGTGTCTGACTGAAAGCACTGGTGTCACTTCTGCACAGCACTGTCATAGGAATGTAACCACACCGAGCTGCTGCCCCCCCACCCCCCCGGATCACCCATCGTTTGTTTCTTTGTCCAGAATCGTAAATCCTCCGTCTGCAGCGGCGTCTGAGTGCAGGACCTGTAGACTTCGTTAGCTTACTTGTTTGGTACGTCGTGTTTCTGCAGGGAACGTTTTGCACATTTCAGTTCCCTAAAGCCCGTCGGATCAGGTCCGTGTCACAGCAGGGATTTTTACCATTCCTCACCAGTAAACCAGATGTTTCTGCTCCTGTCGGCCGGCGAGCAGCTCCGCGCCCACCGGACCTGCTTCTGCATGGCTGCGTGAAGAGGACGTGCTGCTCCACCTGCAGAACCTTCTCATTTTGTTGTTTTGAGTGTTTTTGCACAGGATCACGAGGGTCAGTCAGCTGCTGAGCGCTCAGTCAGACCGAAGGAGGAGGAAATCACTAAAAATCTGCGAACCTCGTGAGACTCGAACCAGCTCCGAGGACGGACCATGAAACTCTCCTCCACTGAGACAAACCAGTTCATCCAGTTAGACTTAACATTTGATTAATTTAATAAACCTGCACGCCAAAGTTTAAAACAAGTGTTGCACAAAGTGCTCAAAGGTGTGTTGTGCATGACTCTCAGCTACCACCACACCATGTTTTTAGCTCAGCATCTGTAGAACTGAAGGAGTTATAACCATGTATGTGTTTGCTAAGGTGGATTAGCTGTGGTGGCCATCTTGAATCGGCTCGGAAGGCTCATCGGTTTTAGACGTTCGTACGACAGTTACTTTCTGAGCGTTTCAGTAAAGTCTGTCCACTGGTGGTTGAGATATTTTGCTAACAGATAAGCACACATTACATGTTGATTACATTATCACACAGAACAGAAGTGTTTTAAAAGGCTTCGTACTTATTTGTGCTGAATCATGTAAAGATGGCGATCATTGGGTGGCTCACCTCTGAGCAAAGTTTAAATGAGATGTTTGATGTCTACGGTGGCCCGGAAGGAAAGAATAAAAACCAAACGCCAACATTTAAACATGTTTTTAAAATGGTAGTTGTTATTCTGGCCACTGTAGGTTTGTTTTAATCCCAAGCACTGAGCCCCAACATGACTATTTATCACTGACTGCAGTTTAATTCTGTTAATGTGGAGTTCCTCAGGGATCGACTATAATAACCTTTCATTTTATAAACGGATCAAATAAAACCTGCTGTCCGCTCAGCCGGCTGACCCAACAAAACGAAGCTGACCATAACTCTGTCCACGTTATAGATATTAAAATTTAATTTGGTGTTGTAGCTGATTGTTACGCCAAACAAATGATTGATGCGAGTACGCTTGTGCACAATGTTTTCAAGATTGAATCATAAACCTAATCATAAGATGATGCTTGTTTAAAACTCTGGCATGAAAGGTGTGGGTTGATGTTTAATCCTTTAAAAACATCAGTCCTTTATTTGTATTCCTCATTTGTACTCATGACAGAAATATTAACCTTCGAAATGCATTAAACTGAGCAAATAGTAAAGATGTTCTAGTAAAACTACTGACATGAACAGATCTTTCACCAATCTGGGTTAAATGTCATTGATCTTATTTATCTAATCTAGTCTTGTTTTGTTTTTTCGTCAAGTTTAAATGTATCAACAAAAGTTTAAGTTGTTTGAGTGTAAGATTTGTTTAAAGATAATCAACGGAACACTATTTTTAATTCATGATTTTTGTTGAAAGTTTAATAACTGGATTTTAAACCCCTCACTCCCTGAGTTTGGTCTTTCAGGCAGGAAGCCTCTGCCATCCTGAGCAGTGTTTGTTGCTTTTTATACGTTTGCGCTCCATTCTTTTACACGTAGGGTAAATCATATTAACATGTTCACAGGAATAGGAAGTCGTCCTGTAATGACGCCACGGTCGCTGGCAGTACGACGGTGTTTGACCTACTCTGACGTGCAGCCTGAGAGATGACACTCAGGGCAAATTAAACCCACCCACACAGCCCTTTGTTTATGCGCTTACATGGCAGGATGACGTCACTGTGGTGACGCACAGTCTGATTTTATATAAGATGAACTTGCAGGTGGTCTCAAAAATGTTGCTTTTTTTATTTAAAAAAAAATCTGTATCTGATGGAAACACATGGAATCTGACTGACGGTTATAATTTCAAACAATTGTTACTCGTGAGGAAAATCCCTAAAGCCGTTGCAGCTCTGACGGGGGTTCTTTTGTTTTAACCTGTAATTTAATAAAGTTTATTCAATCTGTGGTTGTGTTGATTCTGAGAATCTTTAAAAATGTGCAGAATTTGTCAAATAAACATTAGTGGAAGAGTTTCGATGAAACGTGCACAGATTATTGTACAACTACCAGTACTTCTTTTCAAGGTGACTATTGTCATTCGCATCACATGAGGTGGAATGAAATTGTGTACTCAAGGTCCCAGTGCCTCCCGTAAAATAAGAGCAAAAATAAAAAGGCGGCTGAGACGAGCTGGTCTGGAAGCTCAGTCCTCACCTCCTTCTACAGGTGTGCAG